CCCCCCAGTGGACGGTAGAGTGAGACCCAATAAATATAGCTATCGGCCCGCAAGACTCGTTGTCCTCGGGTACCACTAAAAAAGTTCGTCGACCCGATCATTCTGGATTCGACTTTGGTCCCAACCCATCGATTTTTCATCTAAATTTGAATTTGTATTTGTATTTGAATTTTTTGGATCGGGTAGGACCCTGAATCGGCTGGTCTGTTAGAATCAACAACTTAGAACTCAGTTCTCCATCAAGCCCAACATACAAGCCCAAATATGGTTCCATTCTAAACTCAACTCACAATAGAAGGAGTAGCCCACCAAGCTTATATATTGTGCTTGGAACCTTTAATTTTCCGATGTGAGATGGAGTTTGCACACCCTACAAACCTCCCCTCAAACACAAGACTACATTGGGCCTCCCCTGAACGAAATTTATACGATACGACCATCTTGTACTACCGTATCATCTCACAGAATGGTCGCCTGACCACCCTTTCGCTAGGAAGGCTTTTGACACAAGGCACACAGATCTACCGGCCCTCCGCCGACTCCACGGGGAACATGCCATATCATCCACATCACAACTAGGCTACCAACTGTGGCTCTGATACCAATTGTTAGGATCAACAACTCATAACCCAGTTTTCCATCAAGCTCAACATACAAGTCCAAATAGGGTTCCATTCTAGAACCAATTGGCAATAGAAGGAGTAGCACACAATGCTTATATATTGGACTTGGAACCTTTAATTTTTCAATATGTGATTGGGTTTGCACACCCTACAGGGTGTCATTGTCAGATCTCATATTCGATGTAAGATTGACAGACTGGATTTTGCCGACCCGCCAAGTTGAACCGGTTCTGGGACAATAGAAGTCATTTTTCATTATTTTACATTGTTGGACCGCCATGATGATCCAAACTCCAAAGTTGAACCACACATGTCGGATTCTTGAACCAAAATCTTCACATCCCTCATTATTAAAAATTGTTATATTTTGAGGGTAATATATTCTAATGAGATTCCAATTGTGTAGGTATAGCTTCCATTAGAACGATTTCAATGAAAATATTTTGTTGGAATGATTTTTCCATCGGAATTTTAATTGGGATATGGCTACTTTATCAACCGTTTATTACCGTAGGAATTTTCATCGGAATATATAATTATCATTTATTTACAACCGCACTTCAACCGTTCGAAAATTAATGTTAAAACTTAAAATCGCCAAATTATAACGAAAGTTCTAATGAAAAACTCATTTCAACTGAATATTTTCGCTCGAATTTATGCTGCATTCCATTAAAAAATCAAAAGAAAATAATAGCATTATAATATACATTGGAATTGGCATTGAAATTCCACATAAATATATATATATATATATATATATATATTTAATTTATTATTTTCTTGTAGTGCAAAGCCAATTTCAATTTTAGAGACTGTCGAACTGATGGATTGGGCTGATGGCTAAATAGGAACAAAGACCGAAATAAGATATTATTGAGAATGAGATAGAGGAGGGCATAACTTCATGTTACAAAATAAGATATTATTGAGAATGAGATACAAAGTTGAAATTTTCATGAAATAACTTCCTTCAGTTTCCTAATCATTATTGAGTTAATCATAAATTGTAAATACTCATTCACTTGGAATGATTCTTTCCCTAATTTTATAACGTCAGTAATTATATAATTTCGAAACACTGTATAATAAAAAATAAATAAAATTGTTTGGTACTAATTAACTCTAATTAATTAAACAATGTAATTGGACCTGTCAACAACTTACACTAAAAAAATACTACAATTCCAACGGCAAAAATTTCCGTTGGAAATTCCAATGAATATTCCAACAAACTTAATTTTATGTTAGAATAAGTGTTGGATAGTTGAGAAATTCCAACGTATTTTTTCCGTTGGAATAGCTGTAGGAATTTATTTCCATAGGATTTTCCGTTGGATATTTGTTATTCCAACAGCCGTTTTTCCAATAGATTTTTATACGTAGGAATATCAATTGTCCAACAGATTTTTATACGTAGGAATATCAATTGGAATAGTTATTCCAACAAAAATATAAAAAATTCTAAGGGAAAATTTCCGTTAGAATAGAAGAATTTTTTTGTAGTGTTATTAATTATTACTCCCTCCTATTTTTTTTAAATGTCATTCTAGCTTTATCAACTATTTGCTAAATAAATGTCGTTTTGGATCTTTTGTACATATTTTTCTATTATTACCTTTATTTAACTAATAAATACATCACATCTTTTTATAATCACTCTTCATTTTTTTCTCAAAACATTTATCTCTATCTTTATTAAATAAAGTTATTATTGACAAAAAAAAGATATTATTAATAGTATTGTTTGTTCTCGATAAACACAGACATAAAGCAGCGTGTTTTCTGTTTAAAGGACAATGACGGAGCAAAACCTCTATCCGAACGCCACGTGGCTCAATAATCACCGCCAGATCCACACTTTCAGATTCCCGACGCCTTCAGATCACTCTAAGTTGAATTGAGAATCATCCTCTCGGAGAGAGAGACTGTGGAGAGAGAAAGTATATATGTAGTGTGTGTCCAGTGTCCATAATCAAGGAAAAAAAAAGTGATCATATTAGGAAAAATACTAGTTATGGAAAAATACTAGTTATGGACCCATTTTGTTGAGATTTGTAATCATCATCATTTAATTGTCGGGATAGTTGATCTATAGTTCTGTGGTCCTATTACGGAACTATTCCGTCGGGATTTGTAACCGTCAGATTATGATGTAATCGTCGGGATAGTTGATTTATGGTTTCGTAATGGAACCGTAGCATCAGTGGCGAAACTAAGAAGGGGGTCGGAGAGGCGCCGGCCCCTCCAAAAAAAAAATTTAAACTATGGGTGGAGTTCTGCTGGAACTGGAAGATTTTCTTTTGAGCGCGCATGTTGGGCCCTCCCCGATTTCATGCGGTACATACATGGCCGGAGGAGCATCACCGGTTTTGTCGTGAAATTTTTTTTAAAAACAAATTGGGCCCTCCCCGAAACGGGATCCTAGTTTCGGGACAAGGAGAACTATAACAGCAGCAGAATTTAATAATTTTTTTATTTTTATTATATTTTGAGTTGGTTAATTAGCCGACTTGTGGTGTATCGACGGGACTCAAAATCGAGTCGATCATTACCGAAAAATACTTTTATGAAAGTACGGGAAGCGGAGAGTGTGTTGGTGACATCGATTTATGATTTTGAGGTCCCGACCATTTATTTTGGGTAGCCCGAAGTTGAGAGAAAAATGGCAGTGGCGGTGATTTTATTGTCATTTTTATGTCTAGACTTCGGGTAACCGTCGGTCCTCGTTAGGCGTGCTGAAGATTAGCGGGAGTGCTTTCTTCAAAGCACGAGAATAGTAGAAGTCGTTCGTAAAATTTATTTCACGTTTCGAAGTTTCGAACATTTATTTTGAGAAGCTCGAAGTCGAGTGCGCATAATAGAAGAATAAAAAGCCGTTTAGCGGAGTTCCGTAAGCTTGCGTGTGACCTCGGTTTAACGAGAATCGAGTTGGAGCGTATAGACAATTCAAGCACGATTCCATACGGACAAATTTTGCAGTTTTCGGAGTTCCGAGCATTTATTATGGGAGTTTGAATTTCTGCGTTAAACGCAAAGGGAGTACGGCCAAACCCCCAATGCGGAAGTAGGGAGGAAGTCCGAAGAGGAATCAGAATTGGCATCTTGTTCAGAGAAACCAGTATCAAAAGGAGCAAATTTGTCGAGGACGAGTTCGATCATTCGAGGCTTCGTTTTCTCAATTTTTTCAGCTTTTCGTCTATTCGCAAGGAGATATAATTCTTGATCATTTTTATAATTGAGTCCGAGATTTTTATTAGTATAAATTCGAGTATTTTTCGAGTTAAAACAATTAAGTTTAAGTATACCAGTTTAATTCCGGAATTAGTTTGATTTTTAGAAAAATCTTTAGAGTATTCCTTTATATCCTGCGAAAATTTTTGAGAGCGTCCACAAAAGCCCTTTGAGCGCCCTTTCGATGTCGGAGTGGGGGTGGTGCTCCGCGGCAAATTGGGCTCTCCCCGGGATGACCGGCTGGTTTCGCCACTGCGTAACATCTCTTCATATTATGAGCTGCAACTGCAAAACTGAATGAGTTTTTCAACTGAGAGAGAGAGAGAAATTAGGGAAAGAGTTGCGTTTCATTAATTAATTCTTAGAGCATCTCTAATGGGAAGTTACCCATTTTGAGTTGCATACCATGTAGAAAAGAGATTAAAAAATTGTGTCTCCAATGGATATGTTTAAGATGGTTTATTATGACATGTGTAAATTTATAATTGGTTGAAAAAAATAAAAAAATTAAATATGTAATATAATATATAATAGAAATTGTCTAGAAATACTTCTACATCTAGAAAGACTTCTAGAATTTTTTTAGGCCACATAGGATTTTTTGTGCCATGTGGCAACAAGATAGGACAATTCAAAGGCCACTGGAGATGCTCTTAATGCCACAAAAAACACAGCCAACATACAGACTTGAAGACACTGTCACCCGTTTCTTAATTATTTCCTCAATGCAATATCCAAAACCCTCCAACCATAAATGGCCGGCTTCTTCTCACTAGGCGGCCACCCCGAAACCAACCCGGACGCCAGCTGGTTCCTTTTCCGGCAACATCAAGAGAACCCTAACCCCGAGAGAGGCGGATTATTCGAGCTCTGGTACCCAAGCCCTAGCAACCATGAGGAAGAAAGCAGGTTCCTCCTCCAGGATCTGTACACGGTGGGTTCCGGCTACAATCCGCCGGCGCCGGCGAGAGGGGGTTTGTTGATGGTGAGGGGTGGGGTGAGCTGCCAGGACTGCGGGAACCAGGCGAAGAAGGACTGCGCCCACATGAGGTGCCGGACGTGCTGTAAGAGCCGAGGGTTCGATTGTCAGACACACGTCAAGAGCACGTGGGTCCCGGCCGCCAAGAGGAGAGAGAAACAACAACAACAACGACGACGACAACAACAACAAATGGCTGTCTTACGGAAAAGGCAGAGAGATGATGATGATGATGGTGATGATAATGGTGGTGGTGAAGGGGGCTCGAGTTCCCTTATGTGCACGAATGGGCCGCCAGGTAATTAATTATAGGTTGATGATAGATTTTTGTTGTTAAGAGTAAGATTATTAAATTGATTAATGGATGTAGAGATATATTGAGTTTAATTTGTGTTAATGGTTTTTGGATTATGGGATTAACTGATTGATAAACAAAAATAAACAAAATAATTTTTCATCTTTTAATTAATTTTCAATTTCTCCATACACAATAACTAGAGATCAACATATATAATTATATATGCATGTTGGATAATCTTATTACCATCTTTTTTTATATATATATATTATATTTTCGGACATAGGAATGGAGGTCGGCAATTTCCCACCGGAATTGAGCTCGGAGGCTGTTTTCCGGTGGGTGAGGGTGGCGGGCAGCAACGGGCACCATCACGCGTATGAAGCGACTGTCAGTATTTCCGGCCACATTTTCAAGGGGATTCTTTACAATGAGGCCGCCGAGAGCCAGTACATGGCGGCAGCCGGGGAGATCTCGTCTGGAAGTGCCACCGGAGGTGGCGGCGGTGGCGATGGCAGCTTAGCCTCACCTTTTCTTGACCCTTCTTGGTATGCACCGCGGCCGATCAACAGTCTTTTTCAGTGACAAAAGGCCCCAAAAAAAAAAATATAATACATATATATATATATATTTATATATATATTTGAGAAAATAAAATAAAGACATGGTGGTACAGATGAAATCAAATTAAATCAAGGTATTTGGGTTCAGGGTTTCAGTTTCATAAACTGACTGATGACACAAGAAATTAGTTAGTGCATGGTGTTTGTTTAATTATCAAATAATTTTATCCGACTGATGTCAGGCCTAACGGTTAGTTAAATATGATTTTTCAAACTATATGTTGTTATATGGAAATTAAATAATAACAAGATTGTAGTGTGCCAATTGCAATAGAGTAGCATATGTTTTTATTATTGCACGCTTGATGTTTGTTACAGGAAGTTGGTTTATAGCGAAACCGAGTTGTATTATATTCAAGAATCTAGTATGTTCGAAAAAAGGATCTTCGTACACGAGTTAATTCCACTATTTATAGTAACTTTTAACTCGACGTTCGAAGTGGGTACGGCAGCATTTAATGCAAATCAGCTTTATGATGGCGGCTATGCTGCAGGTGGGCCCACAGGTTATGATTGAGGCACGTGTGACGGACGGTTGGACGCATAGACGCCTTGTCATCATCGATTTTGACCTCGGTCTAGGAAAAGGACCTTGGTTTTTCTCGGATGTCGGTCATCATGGGGCTAAGTCGCTTTTTAATTTGGTCTGAGCCTAGTTCATCCCACCCCAAGTTTAATCCGTGTTTAGCTTGAGTTTGAAGATTAATTTTATCCTTAGTGTCTTTAAGTCTGGCTGATCAAGTCGGTTGTCAAGTATACTCTAAAAAACAAAATAATGAAATAAATATGGCGATACTTCATAGCATAAACATGCAATTTTATAAAAGAAATGATAATATAATAACCAAGCTAAGATTCTTCATAAATTAATAAAGAAAATTATATATATATATATAACTACATAAAAGTCACTGTATAAATGCATATAATTGGTACCTGAAAACTTGACCAGAAGCAATTGGAACTTTCTTGATTCAGAGGATGCCTAATTGTATATATATTGCTGAATGTTATTAGCATATAGGTACAATTAAAATGACCTAACTGCAGAGATATATATTCTCCAATTGCTATATATGAAGCCCTCGATGTATATTATTTCTTCCAAAAAATGCGAAGATGGAAACAATGAAGTGGACTTTTTTTTTTTTTTTTGGGTACAGGGACCTTCCGGTTTCCGGATCCACAGGGGAACCGACTGATTCGGAATCGAGCCGGGTAGGACCACAAGGGCGGCAAAGTTCTTCCTCAAGAGTTTTAACACTGCTGCATTCCCAGAGCTCAATGAAGTGGACTTTTTTACTTATTTTAGTCAGTTTCTTGGGAGAGTTAGAGAGGATAATTTATCTAGACATAGGATATATTTTTGCTTCTGGACTTAAAGCCCTAATTTGCATTCGTTATTATGATAAGATTTATTGTGATTTTAGATATTAATTATGAAGTACAAAAATTTAATCCATTGTAATACAGATTAAGACATAATAATGAAGGTAAACAACTAGATATTAATATGTCATAATTCAAATAAATATAATATGTTTTAAGTATGTATTTATTAGTTAAATGGTATGTGTAATCTCTTACGAAACACTTTGTCATTAAAACCAAAATTTCTATAAAATATTTTTTTTTTTCTTTTTTAGCAGTGTATATTTTCCTGAAAATAATTTTTTAATAATCTATTTATTGATTTTTTTTTTTTAATTCATTCATTAAAAGATCTTTGTAACTATAGAAACAACATTTTGGTAATAATTTATCATGTTTATACAAAAGCATAAGGAAAATTTTTTTTTATAATAACAATAATTAATTATTGCAAGATTACTCAAATTGAAATATAAGTAAATATTGGAAATTTGAAATGTAAGTAATTTTTTAGATCTCTTTCAGCTTTTAGTTCCTCGAGCGACAAAAACGCTATATCGTACGTATTCTTATACCACATTCAGAGCTACCAGTTGTTCTATTTCTATTTCCATGATCCATCTTCAATTAATTCCAGGTTATAATATCTATTTGGAATTTTAATTAACGAAATTCAGATGTTTGGTGAGTTTTGATTCTTTAATTTAGATGTTTTGTGAGTATTGATTGAGGCAACAACGTTGTAAGAAAAATAGGCTTTTTCTTAGGCCGTATTCGTCTAAGATTGCACCGGTGACTACCCCACCGACAAAGCCTGTTTCCACTCTTGAGTCTTAATCCTGTTGACCCAATCCATGGACAAATCATCTGCAACTCATTCTACAAACTCGAGCCCAGCGCCTTTTCCTTGCAGTCGGAGCTCCTCCCCATGGCCCCCTCCTGGTGAGTGGTCTCACCAAGACCGCAGCAACTCCCTACTTGAGGACTCTTAACTTCCACGCATGGCTCGATTGCCACCCCAACCACCTCTGCCGTGCCCACAACACCTCCACTGAGCATAGCAAGGCCCGGCACGGCTTCAAGAGCTAATGCTGGGGCTCAAGCTCACTCGCCGTCCCTGCAGGTCGTGCGTGCAGGCAGCGGGCAGAAGTTTCTAGAACTTTTTCCTGGACTGGTATGGGACCAGGGGTTGATCATGGGGAGGGCCACACAGCAAAAGGTTTTGCCATACCTTGAATGTGGGATATAATGAAAAGGGAAAAAATACATAAAATCTGCTCAGACGCAAATATAATGAAAAGGGAAAAATAAAAGAAAAAGCTAACCAAACCTGGGCACAAAAAACTCCCGTTGCTTGAGAAGCTGATGTCTGCAGAGACCCACTCCAAAACAATCCGAACCACTTGTTTTTATACATCAGCTGATTCTTTCACAAGCATTACACATAAAAATTCTCTTCCCATGTAATAACTAAACAAAAAGCTACAGACCAAGTATTAAAAAGAAAAGAAAAGGGAAGATTAGCATGAATCTGAGAGCATAATATACTGTCATGTAAAAACTCCCTTCACCATCATATATATCCATCTTCCATCACAGCTGAACCGTCGACAATGCCCTTGGCTTCCCCTTCCCGGAACCCGATGAGTTGAGGTACTGAGACACAAACAGCACCCCCATCACGACCAGCAGGCATCCGACGAGTGTACTGAAGAAAAGTGCGCCCGGCTGCCTCGTCTGGACAAAGCCGTAAATTCCGCTCGAGGTGACTAGCACAACGTCCGTCAGCCCATCGCCGGAGAAATCTTCGCACACGAGAGCGTGCGTGGGCGGGGCCGGCAGGTCGAAGGTCGCCAGCGTGCTGCCGCCGGGGGACAGGACGACCGCCTCCTGGTCGCCTGCCGCCAGGATCAGCGGCTCCGCTACGGTGTCGTGC